AGGAGAAAGGAAGAGAAACTGGGCCACCTTGCCTCTCCTTGATTAGCTTCCAATTTGTTGAGGAGGAACATGGCTGAGCCAGAACAGGTGAGTTTCCTTTAGTGGCACTCCATGGAATTCTAACTTCTGCCTTTAATGTAGCAGGAGACAGCGTCAGTACTTAGAGGTCATGCTCTTGTAGCTTATTCTACTTTCTATCTTAAAGTCAAAAGAGACTTGGACATCACAGGAAACATCCAAAGGGATTATATAATAACACTTTTAAAATCACTTAATTAAAACTCTTGTTATAAAAGTAGCACATACTTATATTTTAAAAGCGATATTTACTCCTGATGCCCTATCTCACTGCCCAGAACAATTATTCATAACTTCAATATTTTTTATGTATATAAAAGTATATCTGTAGACATGTTTCAGTATCATAGAGCAAGCGTTCTCAAACTTTAGTGTAGATCATGCAATCCTCCAGGAGACTTCTTAAAAATGCAGATGGGACCTGGAATTTGTGTTTTGTTTTGTTTTTAATTTTTTGTTTTTATTTCAGCATGTTATGGGGCTACAAATGCTTAGGTTACACATATTGCCTTTGCCCGAGCTGAGTCAGAGGTTCAAGTATGTCCATGCTGCAGACGGTGCCCACTGCACCCATTAGGTGTGTGTATACCCACCCCCTCCTCCCCCCTTTCATCTGCCCAACACCCAATGAGTGTTATTACTATATGTGCACTTAAGTGCTGATCAGTTAATGGAATTTATGTTTTTAACAAACATAATGATGCAGGTGGCCAGCAGACCAGCCTCCAAGATGGGCTCCAGAAATCTGCATCTCTGAAGGTTCATGCCCTACATCCCCTCCCATATTGAACAGGGTTGACTTTTGTAACCAGTAGAATTGCAGACACAATGAAGCATGACTTCCATGGCTAGATCATAAAAGTTGTTGCAGCTTCCACCTTGGGTGCTCTTGGATTACCCTTTCTGAAGGAATCTAGCTGCTGTGCCTTGACCCTCAAGGAGCCCTAGAAAGGTCATCACAGCAAGGAAGTGACCACATGGGAAGCAGGTCCTCTAGCCCCAGTCCAGCCTTCAGATGACTGCAGTCCCTCCAGATGTCTTTAATGAAATCTCATGAGAGACCTACCGCCAGAATCACCCAACTCAGCCTCTCCTGAATAACTGGCCCACAGAAACTGTGTGAAATGGTAAATGTTTATTATTGGTAGCCTCTAAGTTTTGTGGCACTTGTGACAGAGCAATAGAGAATTAATGAAGAGCAATGCTATAATATTATTGTAATATTAATAATATTAATCCCATCAGCCACCTTTAAAAACCGTTACATATTATATTTTACATCATATATTAGGAGATGTCCTTTTGGGACCTCGGATTCTTCTACAGAATGAAGTAGTTAGGCTAGATGTGTTCTGAGGTGAGATTTGGTGACAAGTTAATTGTTTAACATTATCAAAGGCTGAAGTTACTATAGGTGTAACTTATTTCAGTTACGATTATTAACTGCACGAAATGTGCTAAATGTTAACATCTCAAGAAGGGAATCTTCTCTGCTTTTTTAGATAACAACGCTATAGTCCTCTGGCTGAAGTTAGATATAAATCTCGTAACCCACAAGAGGTTTATTTATTTATTTCACAATATTAAGATGGTACAAGTGTTTTTGGTTACAAGAATTGCTTTTGTAATGCTTGAGTCACAGGTATAGGTGTGCTCATCACCAAAATAGTGTTCATTTTACCCATTAGGTAGGTTCCCCTTGTCCGCCTCCTTCCCTGTCTCTTCTGCTTAATTTCCACTGAATTTTACTTCCCTCTGTAAAGTAAATGCTCATTGATTATTTCCAATTTAATACTAAGTACATGTGGCATTTGTTTTCCCATTCTTAAAATAATTTAATTAGGATAATGGTCTCCAGTTCCATCCAAATTCTTGCGAAAGACATTAGATCATCCTTTTTCATGGCTGAGTAGTATTCCATGATATATATATATATATATATATATATATATATATATATATCTCACATATTATTAATCCACTCATGAATCGATGGGCATTTGGGTTGACTCCACATCTTTGCAATTGTGAATTGGGCTTTAATAAATATTCAAGTGCAGGTGTTTTTTTGATAAAAAGACTTATTTTCCTTTGTGTAGATACCCGCTAGTGGGATTGCTGGAGAGAATGGTAGGTCTACTTTTAGTTCTTTTAGTAACCTCCATACTGTTTTCCATAAAGGTTGTATTAATTTTCAGTCCCATCAACAGTGTGTAAGTGTTCCTTTCTCTCTGCATCCATGCCAGCATCTATTGTTTTTGGACTTTTTAATAAAAGCCATTCTAACTAAGATAAGGTGATATCTGCTCTTCCAAATCAGCCATAACTTAGCATTCAGACTGCCTTTATTAAGTGGTACAATTTCCTATTCCATTGCTCTCATCACATCTATTCTCCCTGAATAAAACTACAGCCCATTGAAATTCCTCTCCTCAATTGTTCATTAAATTCTTTGGAGTCAAAGATTATAAAACTCATACCTCCTTCTAATGTGATGAGTGATGTATCACCACCCCAGCCCTTCATATGTGCCATCTGCAGAGGAGGAACTACTGACTGAGAAGGAATTTTATTTCATAAGGTAAGAGATGTCAGTATTTATGTGTGCACACTTTGTTTTAGAATTCATTTCTAAAACTCTATATCGAAAAATCTGTTGGATCCGTCCAGAGGGAAAGTATACATCTAGAAGGGAAAAGACATCCAGCCTCTGTTTTGTGTGGCGAATGGGGGAATTATATCCAGAACCTTTATGCAAAAGCCTAGTTTATTGTATAACATGAACATCAGCAAAAACAAAAGAGAGGAATAATAGACTTAAAGTAAGAATAAGTAAAAAAAGAAATTAAAAAGAGAAAATTAATTAAGACATTGATCGATGTCTTAAACAGGCTAAAAATTTAAGGGTAGAAATTCTGAACAACTTAGAATAAAAAAATCTCTTAAATAAATCAGTAAAAGGATTAAGATAAAAATTCTATCGTCTTCTTGCTTCTTTCTTAAAAAAAAAATTCTAATAGATAAAAAGTAAAAGTTTAGAAATAAAAGTTAAACAATTAAAAATAAAACCAGAAGCTCAAAAGCTAGAATGAAAATAAAAACAAATCTAAGTTTATATACTATAGCATAAGGTAGAATGTTAGAAATGAAAACATGAAAAAAATAATAAAAAGAAGCTCTGGCTCTAAAACCTAGAAGGTTAAAGATCGAATGCAAAAGCAGTAAAATAAGATTAGACATTTTAGAAAGGAAAAAAAAAATTATTGCCAGAAACAAAATCCAGAAGGAAAAAGCACACAAAATGACATAACAAAAAGGCATTTTAAAGTTGAGATATTGTCTTAGTCCATTTTCTTTAAACTTAATTCTTTTTTTTTTTTTGGTTTCTTTTATTTCAGCATATTACAGGGGTACAAATGTTTAGGTGACATATTTGCCTTTGCCCCACCTGAGTCAGAGCTTCAAGCGTGTCCATCCCCCAGACGGTGCACACTGCACCCATTCGGTGTGTATATACTCATCCCCTCCTCCCCCCACCCTCCAGCTAATACCAATTTGATGGTGAGTACATGTGGCGCTCCTTTCCACCCTCTGCTACTCCGGGGTTTCTCCTGGGCCTCTGCTGCCCGGCAGGACCTCAATCAGCGGAGCTCCCCTGGCTGTGATGCTACTCGCGAGGTTCCCTGCCCAGGATCACAGCCTGAGCTGGGAGCGAGGCCCTCCCATGGGGGGAGGGTGGCCCCTTGAGCACACTGCAGCCAGGATCCACTCTGATGTGCCCCTGAAGACACACACACCTTAGTAGACTAGTTCACTGATATCTCTCCTGTGCCCCTGCATGTACGAGATCTGGCCTGCAGGCCTGTCCCCTGGGCCCGGGGGACCAATCCCTGACCCTGCCAGGGAGAAGAATGCTGGTCTCAAGTCATCCATGCGGCGTCCAAGCTGCATCCATGTCTCTGTGTCTCACGGTTTCCCCCGGCTCTGCTGGAGTCACCAGGAAAGCAGCACCAGGGAGGGCTGGTGGGTAGGGAGCTCACAGTCCAAGTACCCCTCAGTCTGCTGCAGGACCCCTAAAGGAAAGGTCCTGTTCCCTGCGGATGCCTCCAGGTGGTGGCTAAATTGTCTCTCTCAGCAGCCCTGGGTGGGGGAGGGGAAGGGGAGAATGAAGCAATATGGCGCCTGCCAATTGGCTCGTATCTGTGGGGCAGATGTGTCCTGAGGGGGCAGGGAGCCCAGTGCCCTGTCGACAAGATACTCACCACTCACTGGTGGCAGCTGTCTCTGGGCTGGTGTTGGCAGGTCTCTCCATCAGTTTGGGAGCTCACCAGCAGTCCGAGATACCAGGGAGAGGAAATTTAACTGTCCCACCTACCCTTGTCGCTGGTCTCCAAGCTTCTCAGGGGCCTTTTCCCTTCCAGTTCTGCTCCACAACCTCTTCCCATGGAGTGTCCTGTAGGTTCAGGCACCCTTCCTTCCAACCCTCATTTGACCTATGTTTGCCTGCCTGTTCATTTTTTTCACTTTCATCTAAAATCTTTCCTTCTCACAGAGACACTCTGGCTGGAGGTGTTTCTCGTCCGCCATCTTGCCTCTCCTCCCTTAATCCGTTCTTGATGCTATAACAAAGTGCCTTAGACTGGGTCATTTATAAAGATCAGAAATTTGCTGCTTACAGTTCTGTAGCCTGGGAAGTCCAAGATCTAAGTGCTGGCATTAGATGTCTTGTAAGGGTCCTCTTGCTATACTCACATGGATGAATGATACATGAAGCCTCTTTTATAAGGGTCTTAATCTTATTCATGAGAGAGCAACCTTCATGAGCTTATTACCTTCTAAAGGTCCCACCTCTTATTACTATTATATTGGAGATTAGATTTCAACATGAATTCTGGGGGGATACAAATATTCAAACCATAGCAGATATTTAAAAAAATATAATATCAATAATTAAAAGCACAAGAAAACAAGTGAGTTGCTGTTTGTAGAGGCTGTGGAGTCTTCCAGGCCCAGGGATTCTTCAGGGATGAGAACTGAGGTCCTCATAACTGAGCTTGGAGGTCAAAGCTGCAGCCCAGTCACCCTTCCAGAACTCAAAACGCTGGTCTGCAAATGCAAAGAAGAAACCAGTAGCTTCCTACCTCTCCCTCCATTTCCCCCCCACCACCAATCTTACTGTCAAGACCCTGCTTTGCCATTTCCCTTTAGGTCTCTTTCTAAATTAGTAGTCTGAGTGGACAACGGAGCAAGAATCTGGTGTGTTCAAGTGAATGGGGAGAATGAGAGGGCAGTGAGAGGTCATGGCAGGGAAAAACTCTTCTCCTCTTGTGGCATGTTTCCTGGAATGTCCCACAGGTGCTCAAACCCCCAGGACCTGAGTGGAAGCAGCCATCTTCCCCCAGATCTGTTCTTCCCACACTTCCCCCGCCCACCCTATGCTCATTCTGCTGTTTAATGTCTCCACCATCAACCTAATCAGTCAGGGAAGCAAGCTCAGAGTCACTCTGGGCTGTTCCCTCATATTCACTCCCACATCTGGTTGGCCACCAGGTGCCTTCTCTTCTAATATCTCTTCTACCTTTGTCACCTCTGCACTTCTTCAAGCCCTCACTGCAAACGAGATGAATCTGAACAGAGAGGCGAGAGCTGGAACAGAAAGGGCTTTAGCTTCCTTGTTATGGCGCTAGAAATTTGTGCAAACGACAGTAGTTTACAGAGATATGTAATATCTCAAGTGGAGCATGGAGAGGAGCTGGGAAAACTGACAGCCAGAAAAAGGATGGCTAGCCCTGGATCCAGGTAGATAGGCGGATTCCAGAACTAATTCCACAGCACTGGGCCTGCCCCAAGCTGCCCCCCTTGGCACAACTTGGCACACTTTTTGGGGTATGGTGTCATCCAAAGCACCCCAAAAGCAGTGGAGGTGGACTGGCCAGCTCCTCCTCGTTGAGCGCTGGTGAATCTGCACAGTTCTTATCTTGTGTGACACATGTTTTATTCAAAGGAAGGTCAGAAGATCTAGAGACAGTGGAAGAGTTTGGGGCCAAGAGGCTTTTTAATAATCAGTGTCAATCTCTCTCTGCTTTTATCCCTCCACAACGGAGCAGGGCTGCACGAGGCATGTATTATTGCTATTAATACAGGAGGATTCAAGCCAAGGGACCGGGAGCCCTGGCCCACACACCTTTTCTCTCACTAATCTGATGAGACGCTCAGTCTTCTGTTGCTATCTGATTCAGGCCAGCACTTAGACAGCAGGACTTGTCTGGGCTCTTAGGAGATGCACTGGTGCTTATGTGCATGAAGGCACTTTGAGCTTAACACGCCGTGAACCAACACTGTTTGGAGGGGGCTTTGGGTGGGAGAGGAAGATGTGGCTGCAAAGACTTTGGCAATAAACTCTGACACTGACATCCCTGGGCAAATTGGTGGCACTTGCTTCAAAAACAGCTTCAAGTGGATGTCATGCTGATGATAATGAGATTTAAAATTAATCTTGATGTGCCCTCATCAAGGGAGGCTTAATTGCAGGGTCCAATAAGTACACAAAGTACCCCAATGACAACTTTGCTGACAAAGTGATTCTAAAAAAAACAGAGGATTTAGAAGGGGGTAAAATCTTCTCTGTGGGACCCCCCAGTTTTCAGCATCACTGAAGTCTGCCTCTGTTCAAGCCCATCTCCTCATGCTCCTAGTTTTCTGATTTAGAATGTATACATTTAGAATTTATACTATTTCCTTGCTTGCAACTCCGGGACCTGTTATTTTTCTGGCCATAGTGGGAGAAGGAGCTCTGGTGTTCACCTGCTGTCTGATCTCAGGCAAGTTACGGATCATCTCTGAGCCTCAGTTTACTCACCTGTCAACTAAAGGAAATGAGGCCTACCTTGACAGGTTGTCGAGAGGATTAAAATAAATGAGCTATGTGGATCCATTCTCACTTCCTCTCTCCTCCAACTAATATCTAGTGGGTAGAGGCCAAGGATGCTGCTAAACGCCTGACAAAGCACAAGACAGACCCACAATGAAGAATTGCCTGGCTCTAACTGTCAATGGTGCTGAAGTTGAGAAGCCTGGCCCTAAGGAACGATGCATGTTATCCATGAGTTCCTTGAAAGTAAGGCGTGTGCCTTGTGTATCTTCATTTTTTTGTAAGGGGGTATTTAAAGAGGGTTGAGGGAAAACACTGTAGTGGGATTACAGTGAGTTCCAGTCACAATGAGCTTAAGGGGAACGGACCTAAATTCAGCCTGACACTGCCAGTTTTCTTTGCTCTTTGTTCTTCAAACTGAGGTCTATTCACAGCTCTCTAATATCTTATGGTAGTCTCATTTCCTTTTGACTTGAGTATTTCTTTCAGCTTTCCCCCAGGTGATATATGGGATTCGCTTAACTTTGCTATCCTTCTCATCTGTGGATACTGAGCATTGAGAAACACAGAGATACCTGGAGTGTGAAGTCAAGAGCACCAACTCCTGCCAAGGGGCTTTTCCGGAGGTCGTAGTGAGTGGTCACAGGAACGAGATGCTGAGCCTAGCAGAGACCCAGGAACACTGAAGGAGACTCCAAGGAAACCTGGCTATGCTGGGGGCAGGTGTGTGAATAGACGCATTCTCTCTGGCTGACTTCATTCAATTGGTGATACAAATATATATATAAATATCCAGTGTATTCTCAATTTTATTTGCCTGGAAGGAAAATATGTTCAAATATTAGTGATGATTATCTTCCTGATTGGAAGGCTTTTTTTTTTTCTGTGTACATGCTTTTGAACTTTCTAAATTTTCTCTGAGTATTTTATATATTAAAAACAATAGACATTATTTTAAATAAGACTTAAAGAGCCATTTTGATATGTCTGCCTGAACTTTACATTCCGAGGACTCCTGTTCCTCTGTAAATGGCAGGTTGGCTGTTGGCAAGCTGCTGCTAAGAGATAAATTGCTCTCCCACCTCCCCAGCTGAGCGTCATGTCTGGGTAACAGCTGCTTCGATAATGACTTCATTTGGTGATGGATGAATCCTTGCTTTACAGATGCTGAGATGACTTGAGCCAAACGAAACTGCATGCATAACTGTTCATTTCTCCTCACTCCACTCACAGGAGGTGCCAGAGATAGCAGGCTCCAAACAGGGCAGGAGGATGTGACATTGCCTTCCTCTTCCTCGTAGCAAAGTCAGCCCCAGCGAAGTTGCTCCCGGAGAGCTGCGTGCAGCTGGCAAATGCACCTGCACAGCAATACTGCCCCGCAGCGTGCACGGCTGAGGCCGAGCCTCGCCCCTGCCCCAGGCTCTCACTCTCGCTTCTGCTTTGTATGTGGTGGTGATAGCATGTCACTCTTTACCAAATGTAAGCAGGAAGTGCAAAATTCAGTCTTGAGAAGGAATGTTCTTACCTCTCAAATAGCAACTACTGTGTTTCCCCGAAAATAAGACCTACCCATAAAATAAGCCCTGGCAGGATTTCTAAGCATTTGTGCAATATAAGCCCCACCCCGAAAATGAGACCTAGTGATGGGCGTGGCTACGCAGTGTGTCTGCACAACCCATGCATTTCGTCGCAGAGCGGTAAAGAAGACGAGCAGCCCTTCTCATCTGCCCCATGAGAGCTCTGTTGCTCGACATGAGAGATTGGGGCCAATGGTTCTAAAGGAAATAGAGTCCCAAGAAATATAGGATGAAATCTGGGGTTTTGAGATGTATGATGATGTTCCAGAAGAAGATGACTTAACTATATTTGAATAAATGTAGATTGCTGTACCATACTTAACAAAAATAACACATCCCCTGAAAATAAGCCCTAGGGTGTCTTCTTGAGGAAAAATAAATATAAGACCCTGTCTTATTTTCAGGGAAACATGGTATCAAATAGTTTGTAATAGAGGAAATGCTCAAAGCTGTTTATAGGAAGAACCAGGGATGTTCCTTATCACTGGGAGTGACCCAATGGCAATTGAAAAGCATATATTTTGGAATCACAACTTGCAGCATTCAAGACCACAATGGTATCAAAGAGATGTTAACTAAGAGGATGTACAGCAGAGAAGGACCAGGAAGGGAAGAGTTGGGAGAACCCAGGATAAGTCCAGGTTCTTGGGGACTGTTGAGAACAATGAGGAAGTTCTCTTACAACTTATGATCAGGACAGGGGATTATAGATCCCTGATGAAAATTCAAGGAGAGCTGATCCAGACGTACAGACTTGCTCAGATGTGAGGCTGAGCAGATGAGTCAGGGAACTGAGGGACCGTAACAGGGGTTGCAGACCCCCAAGCAGGCTGGGGTACAGAACACAGCCCACAGAGCTTACAGAGAAGGCTAAGGGGGTTCTGCTAGCAAAATTCCGTGATCCATTTTCCCCGATCCATGAGAGAAACGAAAAGCCCCAAATTGAGGATAAAAACAATGAATAGCATAATTATAAAAGGGTGAACGTCCACCACAGACTGTCCTTTTGAGGACATTGGATTCGATGGAGTCAGAGGCAGCTTGACCACCCCTGATCCAACCCCTTCCTTACTGTGTAACCTTGGGAGTGAACCAAAGGGACCTCAGAGTGGGCATGTGTTTGTTTTTTGGCATCAGAAAGGTCTAGCTCTGAGTATTTACTATGGACTATTTAATGAGTATTTACCGAATGCTAGACACTATCCTTTGAAATTTATAAACATGATTTAATATAATCCTTCAACAGTTATTTGAAAACAGTTGTACAAAGTTTTAAAACGAGGAAATAACTGACCTGAAGCTGCACAGCTAATAAGCATTGGAACTGGAATTTGAGACACAACTCGACTTCAGAGCTAATAATTTTTTTAATGACTACGGAGCCATGACATGTCTTTCCTTAACAATCAGTAATTATCATACACATAATACATTGTTTCCCTTCCTCTCTCTTGCACACACCTGCAGTAGCTAGACAGGCACTTATGGATTATTATTTCATAACGTCCCATTTTGTGCCTTTGTTACTAAAAATTATGTTTGATGTCATCAGATCTTGCTAAATCTCTGAGAGCTTTTGGTCAATATTGTTACCTGCCTCCAAAATTGAAATGAAATGGAATGGTAAAATAAAAAAAGTGTTTTATTGCTCTTAAGCTTTAATTATGCAAAAATATCCTGCAAGTTAAGTAAGGCCTTTTGTTGGTTAGACTGTCAAAACAAATTTAGAAAACTGATTGGTTTCAAGTGACCTGTTTTAAGTGGAACACCATCAAACTAGAATTTATTCGTTGAGGGTGAGCTGCAAAACACATCACATGGGAAGGGTTGAAAGAAATAGGAAAAGAGGACTCAAAAGCAACATAATAGCTGTTGTCAAATATTTAAAGCTTGTCATGAAGAAGACAGGTTAAATATATCCGTGCGGGCTTGAGGGGTCCATATGAGACTGTTAGATGAAAGTCACTAAATGTGTTGAATGTTCTTATATTCTTGGTACAGTTCAGGTTATTTCTGTGTTAGAAGGGAGGGATTTGTGTGGCTAGCTGGATTTTTTGGCACTCAGATTTCTCCGACCAGAGGCTAGGCTTGAAGATGGGCTTCCTGCACTTGGCGCGTAGGTTGGATTAAATCTACTAAGAACTGTGATTTACCATTAAATCTCATCATGCAAAATAGGCAGGTACGCGTGCAATTCCTGCTGAAGCTTTGCAAGAATCTTGGACAGACAGACCGGAATGGGGACAGGCATGCATTCGCCATGAAGCTACAGGAGGCTGGTCAGAGAAATGGTAAACGATCGAAGGAAGAGGTGGGAGAGCTGAGGTCAGAGTCAACAGAAGCTAATTGTCGATGTCAGCTGTAGGTGGTAGATTAAATAGACGAGGCATAGCTCATCGTGGAGAAGAGTGAAGAAAGCAGTGGGAGAGAGCAGGTGCAGGGATGAGCTCGCTTGGAATTATGTCAGGTCATTTTCTTCTCTGACAGTTGGAATTTAAAAATGCAAAATAGTTTCTTCTTATTCAAAGGCAAGGTGTGCTTATCAAAAACGTGAAACAAGATTTTCTATAAAAAAAATAGCAAAAAAAAAATTCTGGAGTTCAGTCAGAGAACTTATTAAAAATGCCTTGTAATATTTTCTAAATCCTTTTCTAGACATATATACCATACACACATTAATATTTAAAAATAAAATACATGCACATTCTCGTACTGTTTTATTAGCTATTTTTTTCCAGTTAACAATCTTGATTACATCTTTTCTTTTAATGGACTACTGCATATGATTTTTGAACGCCTATCTTGTGTGTCATAGTATGAAGTGGCATGTCCCTTCATTTAAATAGTCAGGAACTTATTAAAATTTTGTTTTAAATACTGAAACTTTTTTGTAAAAACAAATATACATGGGGCTTACGCATGTAAATAGATAAATAAAACAAAGAGAAGAGCATCATTTGATGAGTAAAATTGCAAGGTCAAAGGTCAGTCCATATTTTGAAACCTTGGAGAGACATAATATTAAATATTACCAATATTTCTCAAGAGAGATAGTGAGGAGCCGTTTTCATTACCATTTTATATCCTGAATATTTTTTAAATGTCTTAGGCAAAATTTATCTTGAGATGTTAATGTGCCTTTTAATATTATTTGTGACCTTGAACATTTTCTCTGCTTATTGATTTATATGGTTCTTTGAGAATTTATTGTCTTAAATCCATGGTTTTTGGATTATGCTGTGTTGGATTATTCTGCCTTTGTTGTTGATTTATAATACATTAGGAGAAATAACCTTTAATATATACGTCATTGCACATTTGAATAGCAAAACAAGTGTTTTACTTAATCCCATTTTTTCAGTTTTTGTGCTGATGAATATTTTTATCCCACTGATCATCTTAATACTAGTATTGTTGTTATTTACCTTGTTGATTTCTTTTTCAATTTTTCAATTAGAGGCATTCATTTTTTCTTCTTTTATTTATTATTGAATTGATTTAATTTCTTTATACATTTTTGCCTTCTTTGATAGGGAGGTCACACATTTTATTTCTAATATTTGCAATAGTTATTCCCAATTTTTAACATGTAGAAGTTGTATTACAGTCCTAAAGATTGTCAATATCTCTAACTTCCTAAAAAATAAAGGTTAAAGTGCTTTAAGTTACATTAACCTTTTGTTATATGTTAAATCTTCTATATTTAATTCCACACATCATTTGAATATACTTTAAATTAGTTATTATTGTTTTGTTCGCACAGCTATTCCTTGGTTTGATTACTCTCCACGAGATGTATCCTTTTCTTCTCACTTTAGAGATTGGCCTATGAGCTGACAAATTCCCCTCAAACCTTTGTTGGAAATATTCCTATTTTGTTTCCTTCCTTGAGTGACAGTTTAACTGGGAATAGAATTCTAGTTTATAATGATCTTCTGCTCAATGTGTAAACTGACTGTCTTGCAGACACTCCTTCAAGAGCCTCTCAACTGTGCTAAATGCATACCTCTCTCTCCCCTGCAATGCACTGGGGACAAGTCTCTGCTGTGTAGAAGTATTGATGTCCTTGTCATA